TAAGGAAATATTTAAAACAATTATAAACTGGAGAAGATAACGAGACATGAAGAGAGGTAAGCTTTCTGCATTTCATTCAAATTGGTAAAATGATGACACCAGCAGACTGTGATGAGTTACACACACACACACACACACACACACACACACACACAATGTAATGCTTAATATCTACAGCAGCCACTGGGGCGCCTGGGTGGCTCAGTCGGTTAAGCGTCCGACTTTGGCCCAGGTCACGATCTCGCGGTCCATGAGTTCGAGCCCCGCGTCGGGCTCTGTGCTGACAGCTCAGAGCCTGGAGCCTGCTTCCGGTTCTGTGTCTCCCTCTCTCTGTCCCTCCCCCGTTCATGCTCTGTCTCTCTCTGTCTCAAAAATAAATAAATGTTAAAAAAAAAAAATCTACAGCAACCACTAAAGCCATACAAAGAGATATATTCAAAAACAGTATAGATCAAAATGGGATTCTAAAAGTGTTCAAGTAACCCATGGGAAGGCAGGTCAAAGAAAACGGAGAAATGAAACCCGAGAGAAGAACAGTAAGTCAAAATATAAACGGGCAGGCTTAGGCCCTAACTTTATTAACAATTATATTAAATGTAAATGATCCAAATACACTAACTAAAGAGAGATAGACATAGATTAAAAAACATGATCCAACTATATGCTGTCTACATCTACTTACATATAAGGTTGTAGATATATTGACTATTGAAGGATGGAAAAGATACACCATGCAAACATTAATTAGAAAGAAAAGCAGGAGTGACAACATTAATGTCAGATAAAGCAGATATCAGAGTAAAGAAAACTACTAGAGAGAAGTATGGGCGAAAAAAGAAATATTCAAAAACCAGTTTCAATTTCTACGTAATAGCAAGAAATTCATGGATACTAAAATTAAAAGTATGATGTAATTTATAATTGATTTAAAAAAGAGAAATACTTGGATTTAATTCTAGCCAAACATATACAAGAACTTGTAAATCTATAAAATGCTGATGAAAAAAATTAAAGATCTAAATAAACAGGAGCCATATCATATTCATGGATTGGAAGAGTCAACAATAGTAAAGATACCAATTCTCCCCAAACTGATATACAAATTGAATGCAATTCCTATAAAAAAAATCTCAGTAAGATTTAAAATCTGGGGCTAGGATAAAAAAACAAACAAAACAAAACTTAGACTCGACACCAAAAACACTTGATCCACAAAAGAAAGAATTGACAAATAAGACTTCATCAAAATTAAACTATTTTTCTCTGTGAAAGATCCTGGGAGGGGCACCTGGGTGGCTCAGTTGCTTAAATGTCGGACTTTGGTTCAGGTCATGATCTCACTGCTTGTGGGTTTGAGCCCTGCGTGTGCTGACAGCAGAGAGCTCACTTCAGATCCTCTGTCTCCTTCTCTCTCTCTCTCTGCCCCTCCTGTGCATTTGCTCTTTCTCTTTTTCTCTCTCCCAAATATATGTTAAAAAAAAGAAAGAAAAAAAAAAGATGAAATGGGAGAAAATACCTGCAAGCCATGTCTTTTTTTAAATTTTTTTTTTTAAAAATGTCTTATTTGGGGCGCCTGGGTGGCACAGTCAGTTAAGCTTCCGACTTCAGCCAGGTCACGATCTCGCGGTCCGTGAGTTCGAGCCCCGCGTCGGGCTCTGCGCTGATGGCTCAGAGCCTGGAGCCTGTTTCCGATTCTGTGTCTCCCCCTCTCTCTGCCCCTCGCCCGTTCATGCTCTGTCTCTCTCTGTCCCAAAAATAAATAAACATTGAAAAAAAAAATTAAAAAAAAATGTCTTATTTATTTCCGAGAGAGAGAGGGAGACAGCATGTGAGCTGGGGGGGGGGGGGGGCAGAGAGAGAGAGGGAGGCACAGAATCCAAAGGAGGCTCCAAGCTGTCAGCCCAGAGCCCGACATGGGTCTTGAACTCATGAACCATGAGATCATGACCTGAGCCGAAGTCACACGCTTAACCGACTGAGCTACTCAGGCGCCCCTGCAAGCCACGTCTTGACAAAGGACTAGGATCTAGAATGTATAAAGAACTCTTAAAACTTAACAAAAAAACCAATCTAATGAGATAATGGGCAAAAGACATGAGGGGACATTTCACAGAACAGGATAAGCAGATGGCAAATAAGCACATGGAAAGACATGCAAAATCATTCACCACGGGGGAAATAAAAGTTAAAACCACAATAATGCACCACAATACACTTGTCAGAATGGCCACATAAAAAAACAGCGACAACACCAAATGCTGGCAGATTTTCAGAAACTGGATCACGCAGACATTGCTGGTGGGAACGTAAAATGGTGGTCTGGAAAAGCTAAAAATGAAAAATTAAAGAAACCCGAGATTTTAACTGCCATGTGATCTTAACTGACATTACATTCCAGAGAAATAAAGACTTATGGTCATAGAAAAATCTGCACACGAATGTTCTTAGAAGCTTTATTTGTAATAGCCAAAAGCTGGAAAAAAAATCTAAATATCCTTCCATGGGTGAATAAACTATGGTACGTCCATACCATGGAATGCTACTCAGTAATAAAAAGGAAGACCACTCAAAAACCTGGATGAATTTCCAGAGAGTTATACTCAGCTAAAAAATTCAATTTATTTTATTATTTTTCAAATTTTAAAAAAGTCTTTAAAAAGTGCATTTATTTTGAGAGAGTGAGCGAGCGAGGGAGGGAGGGGCAGAGAGAGAATCCCAAGCAGGCTCCTCAATGTCAGTGCAGAGTTTGACGAGGGGCTTGGACCCATGAACCGTGAGATCATGACCTGAGCTGAAACCAAGAGTTAGGCGCTTAACCAACTGAGCCACCCAGGTGCCCCTGTGTGATTCCATTTATTTAATGTTCTCCAAATGACAAAATTAGAGAGATAGAGATTAAGGACAGATCAAGGGGGAGTTACGGGCAGGAGGGACGCCCTTGCATCTTGACTGTATCAACATCAATATCCTGGTTACGACGTGGTATGTTTTCAGGACATCATCAAAGGAGAAAAGAGGGGAAAGGGGGCATTTCATACCACTGTGGAGGAAGTATGATATATCTGCGATGATCTGACAATAATGTTTGGCCTGATTTTAAGAAGTACATTCCAGGGGCGCCTGGGTGGTCAGTTAAGCGTCCCACGTTGGCTTAGGTCATAATTTTGCGGTTCATGGGTTCAAGCACTACATTGAGCTCTGTGCTGACAGCTCAGAGCCTGGAGCCTGCTTGAGATTCTGTGTCTCCCTCTCTCTCTGTCCCCTCCCCGCTCATACTCCCTCTCTCTCAAAAATGAAAACAAAAACATTAAAAAAATTAAAAAGTAAACTCTGTATGATTCTGCTTACATTAAGTTCAAAGGTAAACTAACCTAAGAACGATAGAAATCAGAACAGTGATCACCTCTGGCAGGGAAGGGGCATGAAAAATCCGGGGGGCAATGGAAATGTTCTGTACTCTGTTTTGGGCAATGGCCACACATACATACATGTATAGAAATGTATTTAAGCCAAGTATTTATGATTTGTGTGCTTTTATCTTTTGTACATTAAATCATGTACATGGGCCAATCCTACCAGTCCCACAAATTATTTTTGTCTGTACGATCACGTCTCAGAAACATAAGTTGGACGGATCTCTCCTTCTAGTCGTTTAAGATTGTCTAATATCCTTGAATTAAGATAACGTTCACCCTGGATTCGGCTAAAACACTGGGGATTTTTCTTCCCTTTAGAGCTAAAGGGAATCCCTGGGTTTTAAGAATTTATAAATGGTAATGTGTAGAATGCAAAGCAAATTGATTTTTTTTTTTTTTTTATAAATCTTTTTTCAACATTTATTTATTTATTTTTGGGACAGAGAGAGACAGAGCATGAACGGGGGAGGGGCAGAGAGAGAGGGAGACACAGAATCGGAAACAGGCTCCAGGCTCTGAGCCATCAGCCCAGAGCCTGACGCGGGGCTCGAACTCCCGGACCGCGAGATCGTGACCTGGCTGAAGTCGGACGCTTAACCGACTGCGCCACCCAGGCGCCCCAAAGCAAATTGATTTTTGAGGGAAAAAAAAATTCTAGGTAGTGATCATAATCACGATGGGCCATTTTTCACTTGTGAGATGGTTTTGCTAATCCTACAGGCCTACCTACTTCATTGGGCAAGTGTCCAGCTACAAGAAAAACCACCGGGCCCCTTGTCCCGCTCCTACTGCTGAGATCTGCACTGTAGTGGGCAGGGGACCCTGAGGCCCAGTGCCTCGTGGCCGCAGTGCAGTAAATCCCACCTTGCATTTCTGGCCCTCCTGAGCCTCTGGAACTGTGGGCGCCCCTGAGCCTCCGAGGCAGCGCCCATCTCCGGGAGAGGGAGCCTCTCCGCCCTCCGTGACTTAGGGACTCAGCGCAAATGTTGTCCTTTCACACCTGTCTTACCTTCAGGATGCCAGCAAACAGAAGAATAGTAAAACCTGCGGTACAAGTGCCCCAGCACTGGATGGCTCCCGTGTGGGCGCTGAGGGCCAGCTACCCCTGGCGGTGAGGGGGAGGGTGGGGAGTGGGGGCGTGGCCTCGGCAGGTGCCGTATCATCGGTCAGTTCCTAACACTGATGCTTGCACCCAAGTGCTTCACGTTCTTCAACCCATCTGGACGTGAAACTTGCTCTTCTGTGGCCAGGAGGCAACAGCTCTTCCCTTTGTTGTGATCTACGCCCATCAAGAACTGGGGTACCTTGGACAGAATTCTAACCAGGACCGGGGGCAGCCCCACTGTAAACAGCTGAACTCTGGGTCATGTCCCAGTGTCTTTGGAGTGTGGGTTCTGACAACCAGTCTGCAGGAGCCGGACCAACTCTCATTTCTGGCCATGTACAGCGGATTCCTAGTCCGGAACATTCTCCTCTCCAACTCCCCGCCTGACCCATGAGAGGCCCGCCTTTCAGTGTCGCTCAGCAATGTCTCTCTTTTCGGTTCCATAGTGACCAATTTAAATAAAAGGCCTAACACAAAAATCAGGCAAATATGTTTAATTTTTTAAAATAACTGATGGCAAAATAAAATATTTACATCACATCATACTGTGTAAACATGTAAGGTCTCTGTACAAAGAAATATACATGCAAAATAATGTAAAAATTTAACTGAAATAATAAAAGAAACAATACACAAATAAAAGTTGTGAGGTTACGAATACACATCCAGTTTTGAATCCAATTTCTTTTAAAAAGTTTCTGTACAATTTTACAAGAAACAAACAAAAACCCAACAAAAGAATAAATAAAATACATTGGAAGCTGCAAAGCTTAACTCCGCCCGGTTCATGGCTCAAGACCCAGGTGTCTGGCTGGCTGGGGAAGTGGGCCGGTCGCGTTCGTAGTGGATCTCACACAACAAAGATAAAAAGACATTCAGAAAAATTCAAGCGTGCCCAGAAAGCCCGCGGCTTGTTGACAGGTGTCCCCACGCCAGCGTTAATTCTGCCACAGTGACGCAGACGTCACAGATGCCAGCCTCAAGGCGGCTAGTGCTTAATTGGCTTTTATTTCTTACCAAAAGCTCAAAATCCAGCCAATTTTTGTACAGAAAGTGGAACGTCAAAAAGTCTAAAAAGTAGTAAATGGCCAGACCGATTTTGGGAAAAAAAATAATACTTTGGCATTCTGAATAATAGCATAATAAATTTGAAAACATTACCCTATTATCCAGTTTTATATTCAGAGTATGAAATCACTTTTTACAGTCCTTGAAACTGACAAATTTCACGCAGAGTTAAATCTCCTTGAACTGATGGCACAGGGCTCCACCCCCACCCCCCCCGCCCCCGACACACGCACAAAACCATAAAGCTCACTGTACGAAGTATGTGCTTTTTCTATGTATTTATTACAGGTACAACAGAGGTCTTCATAAATAGTTGCATAAAATGTTAAAGCCACAACATTGCACATGATATGAAATAAAACCAAAAAAACCCCAATGAGTGCATTTACAGTATTTTCATCTGACTGTATACTGCTCGACAATCTGATTGACGGCTTGGGGGTGGGAAGCAGGGGGAGGGGACATCGGGGTGGGACCCAACCTGACGTCCTGGGTTGATGGGCAGAACCCTCTGACCTCCTCCAAAGGAAGCCCTGGGCGGTGGGGGTGGGGGGAGAGGGGGGGACAGGAGGGAAGGACAGACCGAAGGCAGGACCAGTCTTATATACAAATAAGGCCTACATTTCATCAGAGCAGAACGATTCATTCTAGTTTTATGCAAAAGTCTGAGGTTGAATGCACGTTTCAGGAGCCTGGTCTGGCGTCCCGGTGAGACGCACTCCTAGACGCAGACCCGGCGGCTAGGAAAGCTCAGAGCCAGGTGGACCCTGAGCTCTGGACGAGGCCGTGGGGAGGGCCGCCTCGAGGGGGGAGTCCTCCCCAGGGGTGTCCAGTATCTCTGTTTTGTTCGTTAACACCAGTGGTTGAACATAGGCATTTCGTGTCCTTGAATAAATCCTGGAAAATGTTAAATTTGCAAAATTCTATTCGTGTGTATTTAAAAAAGTTTCTTTTCTTTTTTTTGCAGAAACCTGAATAAAAGACTGTGGTACAGCAATGCTGTCTCCGCTCACGAAGAGTGTGCAAGAAGGTCCTCCACCCCAGCACAGCGTGCTCCTGAGCCCCGGGCACCGCCGAGCACAGCTCACCCGGAACGCGATGTCACACGATGAACGTACGGCAGCTCATCAGTCATGTTGGTTTGTGTTTCTCTTTGAAATTCAAATTAACAGCTGATTGGCAGGTGAAAGAGAATGAGAGAGAACTTCAGGATGGGTCAGACTCTAGGCAAAAGCCTGCTCTGTAAGAAGTTTTTAACGCTACGGATAGGTCGAACATCGTTCTGGTGTTTGCGCCGCTCAATGAAGGAAGTCAGTCTGGACGTGTCGAGGACGCCCGCACCTTTGCCACTGCCTTGGCCCGCCTGCAGCCACTGCTCCTGGAGGGCCAGAGCAGCCGAGGGACGCCTGGCAGGGTCCTCTTGGAGGAGGAAACACACGAACTCCTTGGCCTTCTGGCTCACTCCTTTGAAGCAGTCCTCTGGGAAGCTAAAGTCTAGTCGGCAAATGTTCAGGCAGGTCTCCTCCACGCTGTCGTCGAGGAAGGGGGACACGCCACTGAGAAGCACATATGTGAGCACTCCGACACTCCATGTATCCGAGGTCAGGGAGATGGGGTTCCCAAGGATGACTTCGGGGGCCGCAAACTCGGGGTTCCCCAGCAACTGGTGGATGTAGTAGGTCGTGTTGAGTTGGACAGCATCTCCAAAGTCAGCCAGTTTGATCGTTGGCTTGGCCGAACTCTGATCCACCAGGATGTTTTCAGGCTAGGAGACAGGATAAGACAAGGTCATTTCCATCTGTCCCCATCCCACGCTTAACACACGATGCTCAACGGGAATCCAGGAGGCCGGCTGGAAGAGACTGTTCACACGCAAAACAGGACGAAACTTAGAGCGTGTCGGCCCACGGAGGAGTCAGCATCGCCTGTCGGGGACAGCCCTCTCGGGAGACCGAGGTGGAGTCGCCGCGCCGAAGGGCCGTGGCTTAGGAAGCTGGGTGTTGTTCTCACTCCTGGCACTAACAGAAACATTCGCCTTCCTTTCTCAGCTGCCACTGAACCAGTCCCACACCAGCCTCACGAAACTCACAGGAACTTTCCGGAACTCATGGAATGTGTGAAGAGTACTTTACTGATCGTTTATAGCATCAAAAGTAAATCTTAAGAACGGAGATTAGAGACCCGTGTGCCCATTACCCACCTCCTCGTACTTGTACCCCCTCCCCCCGGGCCTCCTGGCCTGGATGCAGTGCAGAAGCTGAGAGGCCCTGTGCTCAGACACGCCGGCCTCGGCCCCGGGAAGCCCACTAACCTTGAGGTCCAGGTGCGCTATCCTGCAGTTGTGAAGGTATCGGACGGCTTCCAGAACCTCCCCCAGATACGCCCTGATCTTCCCTTCGGTGAGGTTTCCCCATCGCACCACACAGTCCAGGAGACGTCCCTGGTCAGCCCTGTGGAGGCAGGAATGCGCACGATGCTCGTCACGGCGCTGACCTCTCCTGCGTAACAGGAGACGGGCGGCTGCGGGTGGGCCCCTTGTTAACGTCCTACAAGGCTGGGGTTTCGGAATCGTACCTCCACCTAAAGGCGCGACTCTATCAAGAGGGTCGTTTCTTTCCAACCTCATTATGGATGCGAGCGGGGAACAAGGTCACTCAGCCCCCAGAGGGAGTGGGGAGGCAGACAGCAGCACATGTGGGCTCCTGCCCAGCCTCTGAGACACTGAGGACCCGGCTTGGGCAAGCCATCTGCTCTTGGATAGAATGAAGTGATACCACCTCCCCGAGCCTTAGTTTTACCACCTATAAAATGGGCGATGGGAAGGCCAAATGAGATAATGTAAGAGCTGATGTCACAGGGTGATGAGAAAACAGCCACTTGGTCTTAATGCCTGGGCTCCACAGCATGACAAGCCTGCTCCACCCAGAATCCGGGCATTTGCACAGACGCCGAGCTCACGGTCTTCCTGGGCGCCTTTTAAAATAAGAACTCAGAGGGGAGCCGTGAAGAGTTCTAAGGAATGCGGTCACCCTGCTCACTTGTGACCCGGGAGGGAGGACTGCCCCCTCCCCACCATTTCTGGGATCTGTAAGGATAGAAGCCTTGACAGTAACTGAAATTGTGCCTTCCATCAAAATGACCCGTTTCCATGTCCCCAAAGTGGGAGCTTGGAAGCCGAAGGAACTACCTGCCGACCCGTGTGGGTAGCTGGTGCTTCTTGCTTCATGCTGGACTCAAAAGGCTTCCCTACTTTGAATCACTGCTGATGTAAGAGCCACTGACACAGCACTGCCCGCGTGCCAGGGACGACACACTCTCTGTCAGCTCACTTAGTCCTCACGCCAGCTTCTTCAACTGAAGGCCACAATTGCAATGTGGTGGTCTGGCCCCGGCCTCCCTGAACCCCAGCCTACGCTGCCCCCTTTGCTTGCAAAACAGAAACTTCTAGGAAAACCAGCCATTTGTCTGATAACAAGGTCATCAAGGAGAATGTGGTAGTAAGACATCTGCTATGAAAAAAAATCCTATTAACAGTATGGTGAGGCCAAACCATTTAGTTTTCCGCTAAAAAGAAAGGACAGCTGAACACACGTAAATTTTACACCAGAAACGGACGTCTTGCCAATTTTTGATGAGGACTTTAGTTTTTGTTGAAAAATCCCCAGATGATCAGTAGCTATTAGTCACCCAGCATCTCAAGTCCGAAAGGAGCCTCCCAGGTACTGAGGTCTCTGCCTGGACGTCATTTTAGTGCCACAACCAGCCCCATTACAAGATTTTTAAAAACTCTAAGGTTGAGAAAGGAGCCCCAGGTACAGAGCCAATGAGATAGGGAGCACGGACAGAAGCCAGACTGGGCTGTGCCCAGGCCCCAAGTCTCCCGACGTGCCCTTTGCCCATGATGCTCAGCGTAGGGGGACGTCTTGGGGGCCCGCCGTCCTCCCTCTGCCATCTGACATGTCTGCTAATCCAAAGACGGATGGAGGCTGCGACAGGCCCCCGACACTCCAGCAGGAGCTTTACCCTGGGGGGGCAGGGGAGATGGTCTTGACACATGCCCTCCCCCGGCCTTGCCCTCTGAAGGCACTTCCAAATTCTTTACAAAAAGCAATACAACACACAGAAAAATCAAACACAGGGCCTTGAAGGGGTCCCTGCAAATGACGGGCTCCTAGAGCCCGAGTCCCACTGTCAGGAAGAATGTGTCCTAGAGGCTCTGAGGAGGCCTTCCTGTCTGTCCTACTCTGTCCCCCTGAGAATGCATCAAGGAACTACTAAATGGCACAGAATATTTTGCTTTTACCAGTGGAAAGAAGTTGTAAATCCATTTTACATATATGTACATATGTACATTCATACATATCCATATATGAAAGGACTCCCTAGTAAAAAAAAGAAGGAATAGGTATTTAAACCCAGCTAAACGCCCCTGTATTTCACAGAGGCCAGAATGTTCTAGGGTGGGCTTCCCAAACGCATACAGCTAACACTTTGGAACAGATAGTTCTCGGCTGTGGGGCCATCCTGGGCAGCATCCCTGGCCTCCACCCTCTAGATGTCAGGGGAACCCCCAATCCAAGCAAATCTCCGGGCATGTCCAAATGTCCCCTGGGGAGCAACACTGCCCCCGAGTGAGGACTGATGCTCTCGGGTCACAGTTTTCACTGTTCAGATGACTGACGTGTTTGCTGAGATGGCACTGAGGCCCTGGAGTGCCACGGGGAGCAGGGGGGCTGCTCTGGCTGGAGGTGCCCCCCTCCCCCTGTCCTGACCATCCTGCAGGGGGTGGGCATGAGCCCTGAGGGGCAGGACTGGATGCCCAAAGCATCGGGGATGAGAGAGCTCTTAGTGAGTCCACCCTGGGCCCCCGGCAGCACATGAGTCTTCAGAGGCCGGGCCTCTGGGGGATCCCGTGAACCAGGTGGCATCTCCAGGCCGACACCCAGAGGGAACCTGGGCCGTGCTGGGGTGTTCTGATGCTAGGCTGGTTGCTCCCTCGTTTGGACAGCGCACGCTAAAGACTATACTTCTTTCTACCGTTACTGGAAAGCTCTAGAACTGTGGTCTCTGACACTAGGCTTTTCTTTTGTATTTTACACGTTCTGTGGATCCCCAAATGCCACTCTCTGCCCTTCTTAGAGAACAAACAACAATAAGATCACTTAAAGTTGAGGCAGAGGCTCCCAAGCTGGGGACGGAAGGGGGTGTGTACGCACATTTCCAAAACCAGGATGTAGCTGGTGGGGGTCTCGAAGCTATCAAGGAGGCCAACAAGCAGCGGGTGCTGGAGGTTCTGCAGGATTCCAAGCTCGTGGGTGACCTGGTCACGCTTCATCAACTTCTTGTTCACAAACTTAGTGGCCACTGCTCGTTTGGTTCCTTTTTGATCACATTTCTTAACAACAGAGAATCTGCCCCTGGAAAATACGCCAAGAAGGTCACTTTCAGACGACCCTGAGTCTGTCATGGACAAGAAACTCTTAACCTAAATGGACCGGGGGCGGGGCAGCCTCCCCTGTCCACAGGCCCTGCCCTCCCTGGCCACTCGTGGAGGAACGACGGCCCGCAACGACCCCGAGGAAGCCTGCCAGTCTCCGAGCCCCTCAGTCATGCGTCTCCTCTCCTTCCTAGAGGCAAACTCCATCTCCTCACCCTGTGTGACCTCCTGACCTCAAATTCGGCAGAAGTGACATGTGAGACCAACCAGGCAGCCTCCGCCTCTGCTGTCATGGGAAGCCTTCCTCACCATGTCAAGAAGCCTGGGATGCACTTGGTGGCCCCCAGTCACCCTGTGCCCCCTTTTGGAAAGGAGTGTCACTGCTGTCACAGTGCCTGACTTGCAGGACGCCTGTGTGGGGCCGGTCACTCATCAGCACCCACGGCCTCTGGAGCTGTCCCCAGTGAGCCACACCGAAGAAGCCTCAGTGGCACCTTGACCCAACCTGGAAAATAGGGTCTTGGACCTCAAATCTGAGCCCGCTACCATAGGATGGGATGAAATTTGGGGAGTACTGGGGAATGCAAGGAATAGAAATCACCCTGTGGTGGGAAGAAAACGGCCACACCACTCTGCTACTTCTCCCACAGAAGGGCAGTCTGTTTCTCTTCCTTGAACCTGGCCTGGCCAGTGGTATTTCTGACCCACACGATGCGGAAGAAGTGCGGCCGCTGATTTCTGAGGCCGAGCCTTGAGAGGCCCTGAGGCTTCTGCCATCACGTGAGGAAGCCCAGGGCGAAAGTCTATGTGGAGAGAGGCCCAGCGTCCCAGCCAACTGAGCCCAGGAGAAACCAGCGGATAGCTGCCCGATCACTCCACACGTGGCCAGAAGTGATAAGTCAGCGCTGCCTCGAGACAGCAAGTGGGTGCCCGTGCAGCGATGGACAGCGGACAGACAGGTCAGCCTGATACACGCAGGTATGTGCACAGGTAGCTGGAGCCACGAGACCCAGTGCAGCCACTCGAATGGAGGAGGCCACCCTGGGGGTTTCTTGGAAAGCTTTTTAAAAGCGACAAGCTCAGCTGTCATGCTTTTGACCTTCTTGCTGCCTGGGTCAGGACTGGAGAAGTGGAGGAGAGCCGTGTGGATGGGCAGCAGAGTTGAGCCAGAGGGCCTGAGGGCCCTGCTGACCACCGCCCGAGCCCTGGCTGCCCTTCTGGAAGGGAGGAGCCCCTCTCTCTGCTCATGCAGGCGTGCCCTGCATCTCCAATGCGCGTCTCCACAGACAACTCAAGTCTGCCGGGCACACTCAGCCTTTCCTAGCTGAGCCTCCAAAGGAGAATTAAGTCCCACAAAAAGGGTTTGAGCGACTCTCCTCCAACTTCTCCCAAGGACACGACAGCTGGTTCGGTCCTAGACGCACAGCAGAGGAGTTGAGTCATTGCATGAACGGATGGCTTATGGCTTTAGGCCTTCATTGTCTCCTGGAATCTGAGCTGAAAACGTCTGAACCCTCAGTGTTTACTGTCGAAAGACAATTACAGGTTACCTTCCAAATAGAACTCCTATAACTTCCAACTGGTAGCAAAATACACCACTTGATTTTATCTACTCCTGCGGTGAGTTATGTCTTACTCTCTGCTCTCCCGGAAGGGGCTTTGGGTTTTATATTGTACCTGCCAAGCTCAGCCACTTCGCTGTAGAAGGAGTCAAAGTTGTCTTTCCAGGTCACCATGATCCCATCACTCCCTGGACCTGTAACAAGAGCAGCACCTCCCCTGAGCTTGGTTTCTGCGGCGCTACTGGGGGAAGGGGTCTCTAGGCCTGCGCTGTCCAACATGGCGGCCACCGTGGCTGCCGGGCATGTCCGCTGTGGCTCATCGGAATGAAGATGTGCCCAAAGCATAAAATACACACGACAGGCTGGGACTTAGGATGAGGACGAGATGGGTTTACGTGACAGAAATAAACACCCACTGCCTTTTCCATTATTTTCCAACTCGCGTCTCCAAGGTGGCATCTTCCACCTCCCCAAGTGCCTTTAGCTTGTGCTACTGATTTATCAGAAAGCAAAAACCACCTGGATAGTTTCTGTGGCCTCTTTTACAAATTACAACACCGGTGATTCTTCACTTTTAAATTCAAGATTCTCTTTCTTCTTTGTATCATGATCTGAGAAATCAGGACATTCCCTTTCTCTGGTTTAATGAGATTAAAATATCTGGGATGAAGAGACACAGGATAAAAATGCTAAGATAATTCTGTTCATTGTCTACACACAGGGTGTTCCTGAACTCAATGCACCCCTTTTAGTTCAGGGTTTTATTTTTGTGTTTTTGCTCTCGGAAGCAGGTTCCTTGAGCTGGTGCAGCTGGGGGACATGTGACAAAAGTCAGCGGTCCTGTGCTGCCAAGCTGGCCTTCTGCCAAAGCAGTAGCTGCAAATCAAGGGGTACGTGCTGCCTCCTGAGCATCTTGTCAAGTGCACCCAGAGGAGACTTAGAAAGGCCCAGGACATGGGTTCTGCCTCCAGTAGCTCAGTCTAGCTGAGGAGAGAGAACAAGGCCTTGCTGGGCAGTGAAGAGAGCAAGGGCTTCGGACCGGAGGGACGCAGGTCCCACCCTGGTCCCCTGCACTCACGGGAGGGACGCCGTTAGGGTCTAAGTCAGGCACAGAGCCTCAGCCACAGTCCTTCCTCTCCTCTCATAGTCTACATGAGACCAGCTTGGAGGAGAGTCTCTCCGAGCCACAGTGTCAACTCAGGAACTGAATAAAAGAGAAATCAAATAGGAGGATGTGTTCTGAGCACTAAGAACACGGAATGTGCTGTGTTCCAACCCAGAGGCTGGCACCGGGGCCGTGATGAGCGGCCTTCACTGTGTCCCTCCCCGGGATGTCCTAGATACCGTGGTCTGCCCCTTGTAGGTCTTGTTGGGAAGGCCCCGAGAGTGACTGTTGCCAAACACTTCAGAGTATGTGGGGCGGGTCTGTGTAGGGGTGGGGCCTCTGGGCCTCAGATCAGCTCGGGGAGCAGCTTACCCAGCACCCTCAGACTGGCTGAGGACGAGGCCGAACCCATGTCGTTCACAGCGATGCACGTGTAGGTGCCGTCATCTTCTGTGGTCACACCCACAATCTTCAGAGTGGCCTCTCCCAAGTCACTGCCGTACAGATGACAAGACACCGTGGGTCACAGAGGGGCAGCTCCCCCAGTGGCCACCCCTACCCTCCCCCCTTTGGGGTCACAGGAAATTCCGAGAGCGAGTATTGCCAAGGAATTTCAAGTGGAATTTTAATTTTTATTGTGCACCCCGGATGAAACGGGCCCTCGTGGGAGGCGTCAGGGTGCAAAAGCTAAGTAAGCAGTTTGACGGTGTTGGTCACAGTGACCAGAGGTCATGCTCACTGCCAGCGAGATCCACCCTCACCTGTAGGAGATGCTGTAGTGACCGTCGTTGTTCAAGGTGTTGTGTTCAGGGCCCTTCCAGGTGATCGAGGCCTTGGGGCGGCCACAAACTCGACATCTAAGAACAACGGTCTCCCCTGTCTCACACGTGACCTCACTCAAGGGAATGACGAATTCTGGGGGAACTGCACGAGAGAGGAGTCAGGGACACCAGTCTCCCTTGGTTCCCCTCCCGCACCCACCAACGCTAACAAACGAATGAGGCCCTCGTTGCCGCCCGCACCCGGAGCGCCACAAAAAGCCCGTTCCACGCGGCACGCCCGAGGCCTCTCCGCCATGCCCCATAGACCTACGCTCTGCGAGGCCGGAGGAAGCAGACAACAGAACTCACCGTCATATATGTAGTTGGGGTTGAGAAGCTGAAATGGAAAAAGCACGTAGATATTAGCCAGAAGCAAGAACTGCTTTGAGGTACACTGAGTTTATTCCCCGGCTACGATTATCACTGAAAGATGAGTGGAAATACAACTCGGTTCTCGTGAGTATCGAAACAGCGCATTTTCATCGCCTTTAAATGCACTCATCCAAATTTAGATGAGCTTTTGTCTTCCTTCTCACAGACGCATCAACGCCCTTTAACCTCAGAAATGCCCATTTTTCGCATCCAGTGGGCTGGGTCCAGCTGGTCCCCACACCCCTTCCTTCTGAAGGGCGGCCGGTGCCCTGGCCCAGAGCCCTCGCGTTCCCTTTGGGGGAGATTTTTTTCTCCCCAGGCAACCACTCCCCAACCCAGGTTTGAGGCAGTCGCACCACGGGAACCAAGCTGACTGAAGCGACTGCCAAGGGAATGTGCCGGAGCCGGCGAGGCTGAGGCAGCCCCCGGATGAAGTCAGCGCCACAGCGGCTTTGCAGCGTTGTACTTGCAAGGGTCTGGTTTCTGCTTCACCGGGCAGCTGGCAGTGTTCCTTGTAAGCTACACGTGCACCTGGTCAGGTGTGCTGCATGTCCCTTGTTCCCCGCACAAGTGTACCCACCTGTGCCTGGAGCCCTGCGCTGGCCGGAGGCAGGGCGTGGCAAGCGAGGCTGGGCACCAGGCCCCCTGCTTCCCCCTTGGAATGACACAGGTTCCTGGAGACGCTCAGACTCACCTTCACAGATACCTTGTTGCTGAGTCCTTCCCGAGACTTCCGATAACCGTTCTCTAACTTGCCTTCCCGTTTGCCGTCTTTATCTTTTTTCTCAGATTTTTTCCTTAAACGGAGTGCTGTGTGCCAAGATGTTGACTTCCTAGGGGGGAAGTAACACATTGTTAGTGTTACATCTTCCCAGTGTTCGGCAAGGGATTCCTGAGAATATCAGAGAAGAGCTGAGTAGCTCACCTATGGGGACACAGGCTGACTGAGGCTCCTTCAGGAACAGTGTGCTCTGCTGAGGGAAACCTGACCCTGAGTCTTAAACACCAGAGGGGAAACCAAGAAATTCTTAAGTGTTAAGGACTAAAATACAGAAGTGGCCATGATGATGGTCAATTCTTGGCCGTTTGATGCCCAGAGATGTGATCAAGTGTTGTTCTGGGTGTTTCTGGACGAGATTAAAATTTTAATCGGTAAAGTAAAACACTCCGCCCTCCACCACGTGGTGAGTGGGCCTCCTCCAATCAACCGGAGACCTAAGTAGAACAAAAAGACTGGCTTCCCCGAGCTGGAGGGAATTCTGTAGCAGAATGGGCACCCAGCCTGCTGGTCTACACTGTGGATTTGGACTCATAATTCTCCATAACCCTATGATCCAGTTCCTTACAACACCTGCCTCCTTCCCACATGCTCCTATTGGCTCGATTTCTCTGGAGAACCCTAATACGAGGCCTAAGAATACCCTTTGATAAAATAAAGTACAAAATGGGATTCTTGAATAATGTACTAAGATAAAGTACTTCAATATATCGAGGAGAGACGGGACAAGGGGATCATTATGGAAGAGACCCTCTGCAGCCTGAGCTCAAGCCTAGCATCCCCGGGGGGTTGCAAGCTCCAGGCCCAGAGGTGTGGGGTGGTGCTGGGGTGCCATCCAGGTGTGCCGCACACCCCGCCGAGGGTCCTGCCGGGCTTGGACAGGAGCGTGACCGTGGTCACCGTCATTGGAGATTTCAGAAATCACAAATTCCTGCAATGCCTCCATTCCCAGAAGCCATGTGGCTGATCTCTATCACAGCCAAGTAGATTCAGAGAAGGGCAGAGTTTTAAATCAGCACCTGAATTCCGTTTTCTTTAAAAAAAAAAAAAAAATGTTGAATGCAGGGGAACCTGGGTGGCTCAGTCAGTTAAGCTTCTGACTTTGGCTCACATCACGATCTCACGGTTTGTGAGTTCAAGCCCCAGGTCAGGCTCTGTGCTGACAGCTCAGAGACTGGAGCCTGCTTTGGATTCTGTGTCTCCCTCTCTTCCTGCCCCTCCCCTACTCATGCTGGGTCTCTCTCTCTCTCAAAAATAAACATTAAAAAAAATTTTTTTTAAAGTTTAACGCAGCAAACCCAGTCTCATTTCGTAGTGGAACGAAACCTTCTAGTATACGTGAGGCACGACAGTAATGGCATCACACAGATCTTTACCTGCAGCTCACAGACGAGCACCTTCATGGAGGCACCCTCAGCATAGCCTGCTAAGAGGGCAGGGGTCCTTGGAGAGTGCCCCCCCCCCCCCAACCAGAATATTGGGGACTACAATATTGTGGTGGTTTACTCAGTGGCTTAAAAAAAGCTGTGTCTGCAAACGCAGGTTATCGAAAGACCCCGTCAGAACAGGTCTGAGAGACGAGAGGCCGCCCCGTCTTCACTCTGGGGTTCCGCACCGCGCCTGGAGATGAACTCGCACGGATGGACGATGGCGTGGCTCTCTAGCGGGGCCTCCGGGCCTCGTGCGCGCTCGGGCCCCTGTCCCCTCGGCTGGCCCACAGGGCACTCACTTGAGGGTCCCGTCGGGGTTCTCCACGATGACTGCACCGGTGTGCCCCAGGACGAAGCCCGGAATCCAGCCCTCGGCGGCGGGGCACTGGTCAGTGGCGGCTCGGAACACCAGAAACATGTTCTGTTGATTGCTGGCCAGAATCTGAACGACCTCTCCTTGGTAGACGTTGACCTCATCCTCCTTCACTGCCGTGTAATCGTGTGTCACCAACATGGTGGAGATGTTGCTACTGCTGCTGCTTTCACTCTGGAGTGGGAGGGAGGACAAAGAGAAAGGCAGAGGGGACCTGAGACAAGATGTCATGTCATCCGTGGGCGCCGTCTCGTGCCGGCCCAGAGCAGCGCTCACCACACAGACTCGGAGCCACTCTCTCGTTAGCTGACTCTGTGCCTCTTTCCTGATCACCGAAAACTTAGAAAGCAACGTGAGCGACAAGCTAACGCGACTCAGCGCGGTGACGACACTCTGCTTTTGGGAGATGATTTGAGCCCCATCTTCCTTGCACCTCAAAGGAATGGCTCAGTCCTCCTGCCGGTGCCGTGCTGCCTTAGATCTAGGTTGTGGGGGGTGTCACGGGGACTACCACGCTCACCTAGAAAAGCATTATTAAATTAAAAAGCCCCGAGAGTAGCTCTCCAGCTGACACACTAGACCACGGAGCGGCCCCAGATCTGCCAAAGAAAACGTTCACTTAGAGCACAGGCTGCCGGCTCCGGCCGAGCTGCTGACATGCCTCACCACGGTCACCTTTTATTCCTTTCCTTCTGAAAGAATGAGCGATACCTGAAAAGTAAATCGACTACTGCCCTGCTCCTAAGGATAGTCACTCATGTCCCTTGGTGAGTGGCCCTTCCAGGAGCTTGTGTGACTCGAGCGTCCGGAAGGTGCCGTTGCCACAGTAACACACAGAGTACCCAGCACGGCAGGGCAGCTGTGGACACCGCGGGCCCCACGATTCAAGCTTCGGGAATGGACCTTGGCGTGGGAAAGCCTATGCTCCTCTCACCCTGAAGTCCTCCTGGTAGTACCCGACCTCCTCGTCCACTATGCGTCCTTAACGTCCATCACAGTGACTGACAGGCAGCAGACGCGCAATACCTATCTAGGAACTCAACGAGGCGAGATGGCAAAAGGGAAACAGAGATCATTTCTGAAGCCCACCTACCTAGGCCCGTGGGCTGAGTGGTGTTAGTTGCTGAGCGGAAGACACACAAATGGCAGTGTTTGTCTCAAGCTGTCATTTGCCAAGTGACCCCTTTGTTCCGGGGGAGGGGGTGAAGCTGACACCACTGGCCAATCCTGAGCTAGCTCTTGCTCAATCCCCTCTACCAACGGGTGGGACGTGGGAAGGGGCATCAGGCACCCTGTTCCTGCTTGCTTGTTCTCAGAGGCTTCCGCCAACGACGCCGTCAGGACGTTCACGGATCCCCCGGGCTTCGAGGACACTAGCCTCTGCTGGGCTCCTGGGTGCCTGGGGCAGGTCCTGGGTGGTGCAGTCGCGCCTGCCGGACAATCCCGCCTCACACAGGTCAGTCCGGGCTGCCGGGCTGGTGTTGGGGCACACGGCAGAGGATGGCCGGCTGCTATCAGCAAGTCAGCGGGCCGAGAACTCCAGGGTCCAGGGCTCCAGACCCGCAGTGGATATTTAAGGGAAACACAGCGGAATGCCAAGCTCTGTTCCTGTCTTGGCGGAGTCGGCTGCGGATACCTGCCCCTCGTGGATGCCCGTGCTGTCCACGTCAGGCTACGGGCTGTGCGTAGTCATTTCTGCCATTGTATTCTTTGAGCATGTACTTTAGGATTCTGACTTATATAGCAATACCCAATAATTTTGAGATTACGAAGCCAAATTTGCTAGAGAACGCAAACGAAGAGCAACTTATGTGGCATAGCCGCTTTTGGCAATAACGCATACAAAGCTTTGTCTCTTAATTTTGCCACAATAACAACAGCTACTGGTATTTTCTGAACACGCCCTATGAACCAGGCTAAGTACCAGGCATTTAAAATCCATCTCATTTAAAGCTCAAAACCGCCTTCCCAGCTGGCACAATCATTACCCCCTTACAGAGTGGGGGTTAGGAATGTGCACGGGCCACCTGGCTTCTGAGACGAAGGCAGGGTTGCAATTTCTATTGCTGCCCAGGTGGGCAGGTGCAGAGACATCGTGCATCCACATTTGGGGGCTGGCACAGTCACTGTCTGGGTTGGTCCACATCCACTCCACTCCTGTTCTCAGAACTTTCTGGAAGGTGCCCATTAAAGGAGGAAGAAGGACCCAGGCCATGGGTTAGGCACAGCTGCTTGGCTGTGAGTGCAGACAGTTCCATGGAAGTAGTTAAGGAGGAAGGTGGTCAAAGCAGACCTGCCAGGAGGATAAGGTGGCCCAGATGGGCAAAAATGGGGCAGGGCGATGGTTCCTTTTAACTGAAATACTTAAGAATCCTAGAGGACATTTTCAAATCCCCATTCAGGCCTCTGGTGGTCGTCCCAGCCTTCCAGGGCATCTCTGTAAGGCACTTTGACTCATCTAGAACACTGGCAATTTCCTGTTCCAGGTTACCTACCACGTGAAAAAAAAGCGAGAGGCAGAGGCAGCTTGTGCAGCCTAAAGCTGGGACATATGTCACATGTGACTGACTATGCCTTTGTCTCAGGGTGAACATCCCAGGAGGGAGCCAGGTGGTGACTGTTATCTGTACACTCGTGGGCGCCCAGCGGCCATCACGGGCTGCCCTGTGCTGGAGCAGTCGAGGTTCATTCTGAAGCACAGACTCTGAAAGGTCCTCGGTTGCTTATGGGGAGTGTCCAGGTTAGGATGAGCCCAATTCGTAGGAGGGGTCTCAGCTGTAAGACCATGCCTGCATCCCGAGTATTCCACCAGATGCTGGCAGGCAATCCTGCGACCTCTGCCTCTCTTTCTCTGGCTGAAGTTGCTCACCTGCATTCCTAGCAATTCATACCCAACCGGGGGCCAGGCTACTCTGCAGGACACTGGCCACAGCCACTGCAGAGGTTGCCTGCCCCGACCGCTTGTTTTTGCAAGTAAGAGTCAAGGGCAAATAAACGTACCAAGACCCGCTTCCTGATTTTTCTCAATTAAATATAAAGATCGAGTTTAACAATATATGTAACAAGTAGAAGGAAAAGAAAAGGCCACGTCACCCCAAACAAGGCATTAATAGAAGTCCAGAGGAAAGAAGAGAGACATGCAAAAGCCAGATTCGTTTTCATAATGAGAGACACAGACCCTTTTAGGGAAATGTATTTAAAAATTTATAAAGCGATCAAACATACACTCGTTAGAACAGTTCTCTTCCCTCACGCATGCCTTTAGGAAAGTGTTAAAGGTCAGGCCATCTGCCGTGTAGGAAAACAGCTGGGGAGGATAGTGAGGAAGCCACAGAAATGGGGGAAAACCCCACCACAGCAACCTTTCTGCTTGAGGACACGACCCAGGCAACGGGCCTAGGAGAGGGCGAGGAAGCCCGGAGCGCCCGCAGCGCGCCCCCTGCCGGGCAGAACGCAGGTCGCTCGGCAGCCAGCCTCCGCCTCGCTCCCCGCCAGCAGGAGCCCGCGCTCCAGAGGCGCTAAGGCAGTCTCTCTCTCTTCCAGAGTGAAACTGGGGGAAGCAAGCATTTCCACTGGAGAGATTCCTTTCCCCCTATTTTGTCTGCTTAGTTTGCTGTGAATTGCTGTTGGAAGGTTTCTCGAGGGACTTTTTTTTTTTTTTTTCAGCAGGTGAGTCAAAAACGCTGCAAAGATAATTTAAGGCATAGAAGAGCACAACCAAGCGATGAGCAAAAAGCTGAAAGTGTACAGATTCCAATTGAAATAGGAGGTAAACAGCAGGGACGCTGACCCCTCTAAAAAACGTGTGTGAGGAAGGCAGGGGTAAAAAGGAAGTTCCGAGATATTCTGCTGGTCAGAGAGTGTGAGAGACGCACAGGCGCTGCGTTCGCAAGGTACCGATCTGCTTCCCATATTAAGGAGACACACACAAAGCAAGGAGCGAGTTAGTAGAGACGAGAGCAGCGCTGTCCCCGCGGCGGGAGGGTTAGAAGGCGCGCCGTCCAGGCCCGCGGGGCGTCGGCGGGCTCCGACCTCTGCGGGCGGCGCCGGAGGAGCCGGAGAGCCGGGAGTTAGTAGGAGGAGAGCAGCGGCCACGGGGAGGTTTAGAAGAGCTGGCGGGACAGAGGCAGCGGGGCGGGCGGGCGCAGGCTGCCGGGCGTTCTTACCCCGTTGCTCTGCGTGGACTGCACGGACTGCTCGCTGGCCGAGGAGCACGTGCTCATGCGGTCCGTGTCCTTGCCGGGGGCCGCGTGGCGCTGCGCCTGCCGCTGGAGGGAGTCGCTGTCCCCCGGGAAGGTGAAGGAGCCCGGCCGGCTGGCGGGAGAGGCGGGGATGGAGCTCCAGAAGGAGCCCCCCTTCTGCAGGGGGCTGCCGGGGGGAAAGGGCTCCTTGCCGATGGGAGAAGGGAACGCGGTGGCCACAGGTGAGTTCAGAGGCGAGACGGCCCCGGGCCTGGGCTTTCCCAGGGGCAGCGAGCCCAGGCTGCTCCGCGAGCGGCTGTCCTCCGGGTTGGCCCGCGCCTCCCTGGCGTCCGCATCGCGGCTGGCGCCTGCGGCATTCCCCGAGGCCTTCCTGGGGCTCTCGATCACCTTCATCTTGGGGATGTGCTCCGCTTCTCGCTCGGGGCCTTCGGGCTCTCCCGGGGCGCGCCTGCCGGCCTGGCCGGGGCCGGCCTCCGGGGCGGGGCTGCTGCCGGGAGGGGGCGGTGCAGGGCCGGGAGTGGACGTACCTGACATCTTGTCTGCCTCTGCCTGGCTCGAGGCTGCAGAGGAGACCAGCACGGGGGAGTGGTGTCTGACAGGCTGGGGGATCCGGGAGGGTCTGCTTCTGCTCGAGCTGGGGAGGCCGCTGCAGCTGCCGGGGCCGCCGCCGCTGGGGTTGCCGCCTCCGCCGCTGGGGGCCCCGCCGCCGCCGCCGCC